GGGGGGGGGGGTGTTGACCCAGCAATATCACTTCAGATAGTGCACCAATATCACTCCAGGTAATGTATCAAAGAAAATAATTAAACTAGACTTTGGAACTGGGTTCACTGACCTGTCCAAAACTCTGGCATTGTTCCTTAACCTAAATACAATGATCTTTCTTACAATCCACTTAAGTCGTCTAGTAGTCACAGACTAAATCTTGTTATCCCCAAACTGCTCCATCTTTGAAATTTTAAGTACCAATGCCATACTCCTACCAGCTCTCTCAGCAACTGTTCACTACACCTGGTCTTGTAACTCATTAGGACTCATATCCTCTACTTTCCTTTTTATCTTTACTGTTAGCTCTATTCAGCTTAGACAACAACGCCACTGCTTCTATCACTTTCTTCCCAATATTACAGGCTTCCTTGTCTTTCTGCTGCTCCTGCCAGGCACATAAAATTATTTCAACCACTCTGTGGTGTCACACTCTCCTCTCTCTCACTTAGCTAACAAATCTCACTGTTAACTACCTAACCAACTGCCTATTCATTTATATCCAGTCTTCTAAACGCTACTGGTGAAAATGAACGACATCCTCAGTCCTTTTGTTCTCCTGGTTAGCTTTCTCTTCCACTCTCTGAGAGGGTATTGCAAACCTGCACTGTCCTCTCAATCTGATTCCCACAAAAATGATGGTATTTAGGTTCCTAAGCCAACCTATTCATACCAATTTAATCTATCCTATTATAAAAAATATATTCCTGATAGTATTTCAACAAGATCAAAAGAGGTACAGTTTGAAGACTAAGTGGAAAAATAGAAACTCCCAAGATATCTGTAACTTTTAAAAGGTTTTATATAGGCAGAGAGAATGGATCTAATGCACCAAATTCAACCAGAACTGTGTGGGGGAGAAGGGAGAGGGCATGACAAATAAACATTTATCTACCTGTTGAAGAACCTAGGATCTGTTCATATATATTAGTCATTTTTAGCCAGTCCACCTCCTCTGCTGGAAAAGGTTTATATAATGTTTTAAAGGGTTTATAAAGTTCACTCAGTATAAAATTAGCTCTTTGAGACACTACACAAGGAATTTATTTATCCCAACTTATAGGGAACAGATGGTGTGGTATCCTTCAGCAGGACTCACTGTGCTATGGCAGACTTAAATTTAGCACATTTCTTTCCAAAAGTGACAAAAATGTTATACATTATCCATCAAATAATCTCACAACTTTCAAGCTAAAAAAAGGCTCTTAAAAACTGTTTGAAACTGCTGATTACATCAAGTTGAGAGAATGAGATGGATATCTTATTTACACACACCGTTTTCAGAAAGGATGGTGAAAACATTAATCAATAATGGAAAACTGATGAAAGCAGAATTCGTTTTTAAAATTGCATAAATTTCCAATTTCACAATTCAGTTTTCAGCTCCACAATCTCACCTATCACATCAGCGCTATGAAGGCAGATAAGTTACTATTACTGTACTTCCATTTCACCAATGAAAAAAGAGATTTAAGAACTGTGCTCAAGGACACAGGACAACTACAAAGTGGAAGAAAACTCATTTAGTTTAGAAACAGTATGATACATCTGAAAGAGAGCAAGATGTAGAAAAAAGTAAACAGGCTCAAGAGCTGATCTTAAGTTTTGCTGTAAGGACGAGCAGGGAAATGAGGGAGTAGCTGAAGAGGGGAGTAGATCAAGGGGTGGGGTGGGGTTACTTAAAATAGGGGAAAATATTTGTATACTCCAGAAATGGAAAAGCAATGATGCAGAAGAGAAAAGGAGAACTGATGGAATGATGTCCTTCATAGATGACAGAGTAGTATAGGCCATAGCTGAAAAGAGGAGTGATTGTACTCAGAATAGCACCATCCACAATAGATAGCATTCCACAATAGGCTAGCAGGTAGGTAACTCTGATAGGCCCTTGTAAAAGTTGTCCTAATTGTTTCTATATTCTCAATAAAATATAAAATTGCAATAAAATATAAAATCTAGGGTCATCACCTGAAAATAAGGAGGAGATATGAAATCTGCTTGGGGCAGGGGAAGAGTGAATGTACTGGGGAAATCTATGACTATCAGGCAATACATATGGCCTAGTGAAGGTTAATGTTCATGAATTTGTTTTTGTTTTTTTAATTTATTTTTATCATTTTTTTCTAGTGTTGGGAAGTAGTATCTTTAATGAAGAAAATTTGGAGCACAGAAAAGTCAAAAGAAGAAAATAAAAGTTATCCCAATTTCCACCATCCTGGTGAGAATGGCACCAGGTGTTAGAGCAGTGGAGTCAGACTGGACATCTGTTCAGCAACCTTGGTACTTGTATTCTGGCTAAGAAAGAATTCAGAGCCAAGACTCAACTATAAGTTTATTTAGAAAGTCACAGAGGTAGAAGTGAGCCAGCTGAGCTGTGTGGGCTCAGGGAGCAAGTTACAACGGCCAATGTGGCTACATGTTCATTTTCTAGCTGCACAGGTGCAAGCACGTAGGGTTGAATTTAATCACATTTGGGGTTTTCCAAGTAAGAACAATGGAGTGTGAGTGGAACCATGTTGCCAAGCACTCTCACGGCTCTAAGCACTCTATGTATGTTATCTCAAACTTATATAACCTTCAAAACCCTATGAAGTCAGTACTTTCCGGTGGCAGTGCTCTCATTTTACAGATGAGGAAACAGGCACATAATTGGGTAACTTGCCTATGGTCACATAGCAAATGCTACAACCAGGGTCAAAACTCTGGCAGCCTGGCTCAAGAGACATGCTATGGTGATTTTAATCACCAGCCCTATTTGCAGCTGGGTCAAGGTGAAAGCAATAATGTGAGGGGAGGGCCAGTGAAAAGAAATATGGATTACATGGGTTATAGGTCTCATGAGAACTGGAATCAGAGGGAAGGTAAAGTAAGATACCAAAATCAGGTTAGTGGAGATGGGGTAAGATCTATAGCTGACAGTAATAAGCGCTAGATATAATCAATGGGACTGAGGTAGAGTAGGAGGAAAGATTACTGGATGAGAATTTAAGCAATAGAAGGTGAGGGTATGGGCAAGACCATAGATACTGAAACTCCATCACCAAGGTCACTGACTGCATGACCCCAGGTAAGTTACTAATCACGCTGGTCTTAATTTCTTTTTAAAAACATACACTATTTTAAAACTTTTTAAAACATCACATATTTTTCACAATTCTAGTATGAGTTTCTTTTTAAAATAACGCCTACCACATGCTGTGAAGCTTCGAATCACTGTAATCATTTTCATGTTTTTAACCCACAGATAAAGGCAGCTACACCAGGAAAAGGCAGAATGTTAAGGATAATTAAATGTCCATAGATACTATGTCCACTTCCTCATCTCCCAAGCATTCCTCAATCCACTCAAATCTAACTTCTGGCCCCGCCACTCCATGCAGACTACTCATCAGGGTCAATAATGACCTCCAAGTTGCCAAAACCAAAGGTCATGTCTTCTTTTAAATCTTACTTTTGATTTCTCGATTATTAGATTCATGACCTTTTTCCTCCTCCTTGAAACATGTTCTTCTCTTGGATTCTTCCTACCTCAAAGGTTGCTCCTTGACTGACCTCATCACTACTAAATCTTCACGTTAGAGAATTCCAGGATTCAGCCATAGGTCCTATCCTACTATCCAGCAACATTCTCATCAATTCTAGTAGCACAGATGGTAATTAAATACATATAATGAATAGTTTAAGCATTAGGGCTCAAAAAAGACTAGGCATTAAAAAAGACTACTGGATGATCTCATCTAGTCTCATGGGCTATAGTCGACCAAATATGCCGCCTATCTCCAGCCCAAACTTCTCTCTGGAATTGAGATTCATAACAAACTTCCTTGTCATCCCCACCTGAATGTTAATGGCATCTTAAACTTAAGTCTTGAGTCCCTACCCCAACTCCCATACCTGCTCCTCTTCCAGCCCTCCACATCTCAGGAAAAGAACATAAGTAATTCACATAATTTATACAACCAAAATCTAGGTTTAATTCTTTGATTTCTCAATTTTCCTCACTCCAATCCATCAAAAAATTCTCAACTCTACATTCCCAAACTATTTCAAATCCATCCACTTCTACTTCCCTGGTCAAAGCTGTGCAAGCCTAACTGGTCTACCCGCTTTCACTCCTGCTCATTCTACTACTATCCATTCTCCATATAGCAGTCCAAGTGACTCTTTAAAAATCATAAAGGAAATCAGTTTTCTCTTCTACTTAAAATCCCCCAAAGGTTTCCTATTCTACTTTGAAAACCCCCAGCTGATTAGAGCCCTACAGATTCTGGCCCCTAACCTAACCGTCCGATCTCTAATTTCTCTGCCCTGCTCCACACTCCACCTACCAGATCAGCAATACAGGCCTTTTTGATTCCCCAAACACACTCTCTTATAAGTGTTTTTTATTTTGAACTAGTCCTTTTTTCTAAATTTTTTTTAAAAAGATTTTTAAAATGTTTTATTTCTTGATTTTAGAGAGGGAGGGGAGAGAGGGAGAAGGACGGGGGG